AGATACATAGCAAAAGAGGGAACACAAGCAGGGGGAGTGGGAGAGGGAGAAGTAGGCTTCCCGCCGAGCAGGGAGCCCAATGCAGGGCTTGATCCCAGGACCCCGGGACCATGACCTGAGCTGAAGGCAGACGCTTAACAACTGAGCCACCCAGGCGCCCCCTCAAGGCTATTCTTAAGGGAGAGCTTTCTGTTATATCATGAAGACCCAGCCACTCACAGCTTTGAGTTCCTCCATTAATCTGGAAGCAGGATTCCATCATTGATAGCCAAGAAGCTTAGAAACACACAATGAAGTTTCCTAAGGGACTAAACTATGACCAGGTGAAGATGTGGACCCTGGAGTGAATTCCAGGTCATTGTCAAACTTCAGAATTACCTATTAGCTCTGTATAGCTAAGTCTTGTTGTCAGTCCTCCGAAATTGTCATTTCAGCCACTAATTACTGACCCCCATGGACTGAGAGCCACCAGACCATTGGAGTTTGTGTTTGGATAGAGTCCGGCAAAGGGTCCTGCCAGGGTGCCTTGAGTAGGTGAATTCCATTACTTACATCAAAGATAGAGGTGGTGTTTGGTGAAAGTTCTTCAAAGGTTTTGATTCTCTCCAGACTCATGAAATTGAAAGCATTTACGTATCTGATGAAGAAGCAGAAAGAATAATCAAGACAGGAAAATGAATCCAGCTTTTATTAGTTGGGAGACTATGGGCACTGTATCCCAGCTGAGGCGAACAAAAGTACCAAAGGAATCCCTGGCTCCTGAGGCTGAAGGTCTCTTGCTGTGTTCCCCCTAAGGATCCTCCCATGGTTGTTCATCCACACTGCATAGTTTTGAGCAAAACCCCAGAGGGACCCTTGAGAGACTCCTCAGTGGTTGGGCTTCTAGTCCCTTATGGAATTGGAGAAATGTCAGGCCTAGAAGAAACCTGAATCCTCATGTGGTCTAAACACCCTCCCTTACAAAGGAGAGAGATGATGCCCAGAGAAGGGATATGACTTGATAATGTATAGCTGCCTACTTCTCAAAGGATGCGAGGAGACCAAGGAAATAACCTCGCAAGGTCACACAGCTGATTTAATGGCTAGTCCTGTATATTCTGCTCTTGGATTCCAGATTGGGAGAAATGGGTAGTATTTTTGTGTTTTCCCTTTAACTACCTACTGACCTATTGTTGATGATCCATTAGGAAGGCTGGCAGAGATCTCCACCATATGGTTCCTCCTAAGGCAAGTTCACCTACAGACTGCGTTTCTTAGTCTGAAACCCTATCATCACTTGCAAGGCCCAATTTCTTAGATAAGCCTTTTATTGGCCTAAGGCTCAGCAGCATCCTGTAAAGGCCCAAAAACTGACAATTTCCCTCCCCCATCTCTGATACAATCAGATATTGCTAATGTGTTCAATCCCATCTAGTTTTCTTTAAAAAAAGGGCAGGGGGAGGGTGATTCAATGGGTGATTTTTTTAATCTTAAAAAATTCGGTGATTTTTTTTTTCCTTAAAAAAAAAAAAAAGGTGATTCATTCAAATGGGTGAATCCCAGCTAGTTTTCTTAAAAAAAAAAAAAGGTGACTCAGTGGTGTGTTGATACATGTATCATGTATCAGAGATACATTCAGATACTGCTAATGTGTCCAATCCCAGCTACTTTTCCTAGCTTAAAAAAAAAAAATGGGGGTGATTCATCTGTTTCAGCCTCCTGGGCTGGTTGTGAACTGCGAGCAGTGCCACTGACCTATAGCCCATGACCACAAATCTGGGCTGGCCACTGGACTTCTAGGCCTGTCAGAGAAGGCTGTCAGTCTTTTCAGACTGTCCCAACCCTTAGCCATGCCTCCCCTGGCCGAACTGAGGCCAAAGCTGTAGGGTTGTGCCTTCTGCAGATAAAGATGCTAGAAGGCCCACAGGATAGTCTAAAGATCCTAAAAATCATTCTAATGGCATGGAGGGAGTATCAAAATACCTAGGTTACAAACTCCAATCTGCCACTTTCTAGACACACCATTTTTGGCAAGCTATCTCCCATGGAGCCTAATGTCCCCATCTGTGGAACAGGAATAATAATACCTACTGTATAGTATTGTTTTGAGCATTAAAGGAATTGATGTCCACAAAGAGCCTACACAGGGCCAGACTACACACAGCGCATGTCTGTGTACCCATTAGTACCGAGTGTGTATGATACACATGGAACCATTAGCAGTGATGAACATCCATATGTAACTGTTAGGACTTATGTGGGATGCATGTATAACCACTAGGAATGACGTGTTAATACATGTATAACTGTTAGTGCTGAACATGTGTGATAAACATGTAACCATTTAGTACTCAAGAGCCGATTCCCACCCCACTAGCACCCAGTAGAGGCACTCAGTCAATATTTTTTCCCCTTATCCCTTCTCCAACTTCTTCTGCAGTGATGAGACAGAGGTTAGTGTGTCAAGTAAGAAAAAAAAAGTTTGTTTTATCTAAGGCCTTACGAAAAGAAAAGGTATTGGGGGGAAAAAAAGATGTAGGAGTATCTTAGAATAAAAGAAAATGCAATGTGTTATTCTTGATTGGATCCTGTGTTTGTCTTTTGTTTTTTCTTAAGGTATAAAAGACATTTGGAGAACTTATGGAAAGGTGAATATTTAATAATATTAAGGAACTATCAATTTCTTTGGTGTGATAATTTTGATGTGGTAACACAGGAGAACGACCTTCTTACAAGATTTAGGGGTAGAATGTTATAATGCCTTAAGCTCTCTTTCAATTGGTTCAGCAAAAAGAAAAAAAAATACACATAGAGTGTATACAATAGAGACAAAATAGGGCAAAATGTTAACTATGGTTGAATTTAGGAGGTAGACTTTTTTTTAATGTTTGAAAATTTTATAATACAAGCCTAGGGAAAGAAAGAAATCTTACCTGACATTATCAGAACTTCCTGAGTTAAACTTTGGAGCTGAAGTATCTTCCTTGAAGAAGTCCTCAGAGAAGGCAGGAGATGAATATGTAAACCCACTATTTCCTGTCAGTATGGCATTTAGTGGGATATAGTCTTTACCGTCCTAAAATACCAAAGATAGAGCTCTAATTGTACAAATCTCTATTTTAACCCATGTCTGTGAAACATGTCAGCTTCAACTGTGTCATTTCCACAATCTTTGTTGTGTTTTGGGAAGATAATTGTGCATCTGCACTGTGCACGCGCGCACACACACACACACGTTTAACTGCTAATCTCTGCTATTAATAGCTCTTAAAACAAATAAAGCACCCCCTTGACTTATATTCAAAGGCATTTGGGTCTTCCGATATCCTAGATAAATTCAGCTTTACCTGTTGTACATTTGCTTGAAGCAAGTCGCCTAGTTTTTCCACAAGTTCTGCAAATCTTGGCCTTTCTTTTGGGTCTTTGTGCCAGCAGTGCAACATGATCTGATAGCTGTTGGGTGAAAGCACAACAGAACTAGCTGGAGACCAGTGGTAATTGTGTAAATTGCCCCACATGCATCAGCAAAGTGATGGAGCTCTTCTTGAATAAAGCAGGGCTCCTGGAAAAGGAAGCCCCGCCCCGCTGTTGACTTGCTCTTAGGTATGCAGTTTAGAGCTCCTCCCCTCACTGTCAAAAGCAGGGCAATGTCCCTTAAAGGTAAAAGGTCTCATAGACACAAATATCCATGGGTGAATTGTTTGTAGTAGTTATATTCTCAGGCTGTAAAAAAAAAAAAAAAAAAAAAAAAAAATCGACTCAGGCTTCTTAAGACGCATGTGGTATGTCCAGGGCCTCACGGTTCCATGATTGAGCTCAGCAGGGTAGAGAAAGCATTGTGTACAGGACTCCGGTCCCTTCCGAAAGGTGAGCGTTTGTGTAGCGTGGGTTGTTCCTTGGGCTGCGTGCAGGTTTCCTGCATGTGGCTGACCCCCTCTCCCTCTGCCAGCCCCAGCATTTCAAAGCCGCCATTACAAACTGGACTCCCACCCCTCTCAAGGCACTAGGTACAGTGCCTTTTCTGGGTATGAAAACGTTTGTCTTAATCTCATCCTTAAGTGTCAACAGGCTTCCTCTATGATTCTTCTCCCCTGACCCTGGAGATGGAAAGGTTTGGGGCTCTTCCCTTGATCCTGAGGGGATGAGGGGATGCAGGTCTCTGTCTGCCCCCTCCCCCCAAGTCCTGCCCCCCTCCCCCAAGAAGAACACACGCCAGGGGTCTATACACACACTGGCTTGCAGATTTACTCTCCTTGGGCTCTTTGTTCTCAAGAGATGTTTACTATAAGCAATCTCTTCTCTCAGAAGATCATCTGGACTAGAGAAGGACTCTGACCAAGTAGAAGCAAAGTCTGAATGGCCTCAGAATTTGGAACTGGATCAGAACCCGGCTGTTAGTGCCATGTGGGCAGGGACCACATCTCCGTGCCCCTCACCTAGCTCAGGGCCTGCCATACAAGTACTCCATTATTTGATAAGGCAGTCAGGCTGGTCTCTGGGAAGAGATAGCAAGGCTCCTTCCATCAAGTCCTAAGCCACACTGCAGGCATTACTTGTAGTGCCGGGACCTGGGTGTTCCTAACCCAGACCTGAAAAAAGCCTGAGAACCCCGCCGCCCCCCTGCCACTTCTTTTTTGTTTTTTGTTTAGATTTATTTATTTATTTATTTGAGAGAGAGAGAGAGAATGAGAGAGAGCATGAGAGACAGAGAGCACGAGAGGGAAGAGGGTCAGAGGGAGAAGCAGACTCCCCGCCGAGCAGGGAGCCCGATGTGGGACTCGATCCCGGGACTCCAGGATCATGACCCGAGCCGAAGGCAGTCTCTTATCCAACTGAGCCACCCAGGCGCACCCCCCCCTTGCCACTTCTTAGACCCGTGCTTTCAGTCTGCCCCAGCTGCTCCCAGTGTCTCTGAAGGAACTCCCTATTTGTTTCAAAGGACAGACGAGGTGACCAACAGAGACAGCAGGAATATAGGAAGGTTATGAAAAGAGAAAAGCATATCGGGGGAAGGGAGAATAAAAAAAGGCAAAAGCACAGGCAAAGCTAATCTGCAAAATGTGCATCCTGACTCTGAGCGGTTGGATGGAGGCGGGGCTCTAAACTCCCAGGCAGCTGGTGAAAAGAAGGGATAATCAATTACGTGATGCACATAAGGCAAAAGTTAAAAACAGACCAGTTACTTGAAAGAAGCACGGCTATTCCTAGAACTGAAATCCAAAAGGAAGCTGTCTTAGACGCCTCTCAACAGTGTAATTTCCATCTAGGAAATAATGACTTCATGGGACTGTCTTGTACCTTGCCTTTCAACCAAAGCCTGAAGAGCAAAAGTACCACTCAGAAAAAACAATTCTGAGAGGCAGGACACTGTGGTCGGGGGTGTGTCTCCTCTGTCCCCAGGGGAGGGGTGGCCCCATGTGGTCTTCAGACACCCTCCGTGGGTACTGGTCTTCAAAAGCAAGCTCCCCGAATAGTTGGATGGTGAAGTTGAGGTTCTGAGTACCCAGTGAGCACATATCCTAAGTCTTTGATTAAGGGACTGGAGCTCATAAAGATCATTTGTCTGAATCACAGATTCTCCTGACTTTGTCCAGACTGATGGATCAAGGCTTTTCTCAGAAGACGATTCTGGTTCCCTCCCGCCCGTGTATCTCCTCTACTGTACCTATTTTACTTAACTCCCAGGGGGTGTGGTGGGCCTCAACGGGTCCCAAGAGCTGTGAAGGCCAATGTCAAGGACCACCCTACCGAGGCTCAATGCACAGACACACAGGAAACTCGGAGTGAGGAGAGGAGCCCGGGCTCTCCAACTTGGGGCCATTGTCCCCGCTGTCTGGGAGACCTAGGACAGGGGCTGCAGGGCCCACATCCCTGACTATCCCTGACCACCAGCCTCAGAGCGAGGGCTCCAGGCACTTGCTCCGGTCAGGCAACCTGGCCCAGCTTGCTAGTGGCCAGAGGTCTGAAGTGGCCCAGTCTGCACAATCCTACGTGGCGCTCACTTGAAGCTTACACGTTTTACTAATTTTTTGAGCTGGGTGCAAAAACGTTTACCAAGGAGACAGGAGGTCACTGGACGAAGCCCGTGGTCCCACACCCCCGATGCGCTGGCTGTGATGTGATGAAGGCTGGCCCGCTTCCATCCTACCACCCTGAGGCCTGCTCATCCAAGGCAGCTCTAGCAATGAGCAGTCTCGGAGGCTGTTGGAAGGACATTCAATGTATATACGCTGATAATGTATAAAAGGTAGCCTGGCTTGAACCAGCCACAAAAGGGGGTGTGGTCCTGTTGGGGGCCCCGGCTTCTCTCAGCCAGCACCCTTTCCCTGCTGAGCCAAAAGCCGCTGTGAGCAGGACTCACCCTGGCTTCTCTCTGCCCAAACTAGCAAAAGGGACCACCTACAACTACTTGCTGTTTTTATTTTGTTTCTTGGTTTCCGATTTCTAGTTTCCATTCCTCTTGCCTAAAATCCAATGCAAAATCATCTCCGCAAACACCAAAGGAAAAGAAAAAAAAAATCAAAACATTCATTGCTTATTTCCTTATTGAAAGACATCTGATTAAACAGGCCCTGGGCGAGGAACCAGCCACTCAGGGTTGAACAGTTTACATCACTAAGTAAACAGGTTGAACACAGTAAAGAGACACCAGCTGCACCCACCCCAACAGCCCTCCTTGAAACCAGCTGTGGGAAGGGCTTCCTTTTCAAGCTATCACCCAAGCCCCCAAGTGCATGCCACTTTAGGCCAAGTTCAGGTCACAGAGGCCAGTTCCAAGAGCTGCACTTTGTCCTCCACCCAGGCCTTCCCGCTGTGGAGCAAACAAGAAGGCAATTCTCCACCAGCTCTCGAATGCTTGAGAATGGCTGAACGTTTGGATTCCAGGCTTCTGAACAAACATTTCACAAAGCCGCTGCTTTTCACCATTTCTAGAACTCCCCAGCATTGAGGAACCATCCTTCTGTCTACAGGCTGCGTGGGATACAAGGGTTTCCTGGGAGTGGTTAACGTGAAGAAGCTTTGATAAAGTCCAAGGGGATTTTCAGTCCAAAGCTGATATGACTTTGTACCTCTAGCGTCCTTTTGGACTAGAATCTAGCGTCCTTTTGGACTAGAACAGACCCTGCAGGTATGTGGCCTGGTGTTGTGGACTCTGGGCTCAGACAAACTTATTAGCAGTGTCGCAGATCACTTTGATGTTCTGTGCCTCAGTTTTCTCACCTGTAAAATGGCGTTAATAATTGTACCTACTTTATAGGGTTGTGATGAGCACTAGGTAAGTTAGTATGGGTTAAAAGGCACTTAAAACAGCACCTGGCACTTAAGCACTAAATAACTGTTAATAAATATTGTTACTTAGTAATGACAGCAATTATTATGATTAGTAGTTGAGAACTAGTCTTGTGATTGTCAGATTTTTTTTTAAGATTGATTGATTGTTTGATTGACTGATTTACTTGAGAGAGAGACAGAGAGCGAACAGGAGCTGAAGGGCAGAGGGAGAAGCAGACTCCTCGCTGAGCAGGGAGCCTGATGCGGGGCTCGATCCCAGGACCCTGGGATCATGACCTGAGCTGAAGGCAGACGCTTAACCGTCTGAGCCACCCAGGTGCCCCGTGATTGTCAGAGTATATGAAAAGTGGAAGAACTGTTCAAAGCATGAGTGGACATATTAGGAATGTGGGTGTATCTATAATTTAACAGCCCTGTGATCTAGGGAAATCAGTCCAAAAGACAGGCTTCTAAACGTCTCCTCTGCTACTTAGCTGACGGAGGACACATCACTTCACTTTTGAGAGGATTAGTTTCATTACTCCTCACATTCGAATTATAACATCTGTCTGCCCGCCCCTCGAGTTTTAGCTGAAACTGTTGGGGGGATACACTTAGAAAACCGTGAAGTGCGAAGTAATCTCCTGAACTTGGCCTACACCAGATCTCCCAGCTGTTGCCCCTCTCCACCAAGCAAAAGGAAGCAAGCGATTAAAACTCTCAATGCCTTCCACACTCCACAGCCCAAATGTCGTCCTGGGGGCTACTCTAGCTCCGTTCCCAGCTCTCCGAAAGGAGCCCTGCCTCAAGGTCTCCGGACTTCCCTGACCAGACCCCACACAGGCCCGACAAGGACAGGTGCACCTAGCTCCTTTCTGCACTGCTGCTCTTCCCCAGCGCTGCCTTCACGGGCCCGAGTCTCCCACCCTCGTCCGGGCTCTGACCTAGCCTCGTCTCCAGATGGTGAAGGAAAAAGACAGCAACCTTGCACTTTGGCCAAGCCCATACTTCCTTCATTCCCTCTGACTCCTCCCCAAAGGCCATCCCAGGGCTTCTGACAAGACCCCATTGTGTGGGTAGCACAGGGAGGGCCGCCTGCCAGTTCAGGAAAGGTGGTGCCGCCCTGGGGAGGTCCGAGTCCTCGTCAGCAGCTCGACAGAACTGCAAGTGTCATCACATTCCTGCTTAGGCCTCAAAGTTCAAAACCTCCACAGAGCTTCAGGGAAACAGAGTGTCTGAGGGAGGCCAGCAAGCATTTGCACGATGGAGGATGCCTTCCCGTGGAGCCTAGAGTCCTAGGATCCTCAGCAGGGATCCACCTCAAGAGAAAGCTCCACACAGCTGCCAATTCCCAAAATGAGTCTCGAGAAGTCTTAATGCCCATGGACCCTTCTGGGGAGTAGGATTACTACTTCCTTCGGGAGATGCCCCTTTTCCTCTCCTACACCTCTTCCCCTGAATTCCACATGAACCCCCCCCGTCATGGGTCTGTAGCGTGAATGGAGGACTGGCTGGTCCATAGTGGCTTTTAGCCCTTCATCCCCGCGGCTGCTTAGCTCATTTGGCTCCCACTTTGTGAAGGAGGACAAGGTCTTGCATTCAGTGCCTGGGTGGTCTGTTCAGTGTGCTGGCATTCATACCCAGAAGCTCAATTTCTAACTTCAGTTCCAGCTAATGGCCTTGACAAGCATGTCCGTGCTCAAGAGGGGAAATAGGGAGGCATGGGTCAGGGATAATGTGTCCCACTTCCAGAAAATAGTCCCAGCACAGCTGGGCCCAAGAGGGGCTGAACATCATCGGCAGGATGTTCCCCTTTTGGAGGTGTGCTGGTGGGAAGACCGAGGTCGGGTGGGGAAGGGAGGAAGTTGGGGGCTCACATTTCAGGAGTTGCGTATTCAGGGGCCCTCATCCTCATGCCTTCCTTCAGGCGGCTGCAGAAGTCCTCATCCATTTGCACACCCGGGTATGGAGACCCACCTGCAGGAGACAGCATGCGGAAGCACAGGCTACATCACGGTTTTGGGGGTGCGGAAGACCACGGGGGAGCGAGTCCGTGTTTGCCTCCTCCCTTTAGGCTGATGTCTTAGTCCCAAGTCCCCAGTGATGGGAATGGATATCCACAGCCAGTACCAGCTGCGGAGAGGCTCAGCAGATCCCCTCCAGCAGCGCAGGCTTGCCTGGTCGCTCCTGTGGTGCTGGGTGTCCAATGCCCGCAGGCCATTCCCACCTCAGGAGAAGGGGTGTCCTCTGCAGGGGGTTCCCCTCTCCACACAAGGAACTCTAAAGAAAGCCCGTCGTTAGAGACTCCTACCTGGGGTGACTGAGGTTCTTTTTAAGACGCCAGTGGACCTGGAATCAGATACTCGTGGATCATTCACACCTCCGTGAGAATGCTTTACTTCCCTACGTTCTTGTAAATGCCTCACAGAACTGGAGGACTGGCTGCTGTGAGGGACCCGAGGGAAAGGGGGCCTTGAGCTCTGGGGTGAGGCTGAACGGGGAGCGCACCCACGAGGGGCCCAGACTCTGCCTTCCACCCGGTTTCCCATCCAGGAGACCCACGTAACCTTTCCTGTGAGGGGGATGCTTGGCTGGAGCCCGGGGCGGCTAAGGCCTCCCGACCTGCCCTGTTGCAGACCTCGGATCTCGTCTCCGCATTTGTCTGCACTTTCTAGTGCTTGCTGCTGTTAGGAAGCAGCTGGGAGGCGTGCAGCTCTGGCACCGTGTCACCGTGGGGCCACTGCCGACGCCAAGCTGCTTTCAAGGACTGGAAGCAACAGGTGCCTGTCATCGAAAGCAGGGGAATGGTTTTCACACATTACAGGAAACCAGGGATGTTACTGGGTGACTTTGATTTGCTCTGAAAGGCAAATTTTTGGCAAAGTCCAAAAGACTGTTGGCTAGACCCCACGCTTGGGAGGCCTCGGAGCATCAGTGTGTGTCTGCGTGCAGATGTGGGCTCTGTGCACATCTGTGGGCCTGGGGCCTTGAACAGGGCTTCTAGCCACCCATCGTGGATGTTATTGGAAGCAGAATAAATACAACCGGTGTTCCCATTGTTCATCCTATGTAAACCAGCGTCTGGGGCTAACTGGGCTAATATCCGAGCTGGAGCCGGTTTCTAACACCGACGCCCGTCGAGCTGTGCTTGCTGGGGCCTTTCCGGAGAAATTCTGGGGGGAGGGTGATGCAGAGAGGGAAGGGGCAGGGCGTTAGGAATTGGGGAGTTTGAGGAATTAGGAGAAGGCACAAAGGAGAGAGAAAGTGGTCAGACTGGCTAATGTGATGCTCGCGTGCCCCCCCCACCCCGCCCCGTGCGTGTTGGTACAGAGCATCCTTCCAATACAGGGCACACACGCGTGCACTGTTCCTCACGTGAGCTTCTACAAGGACACAGGCGTCTTTTAGAGGCTGATCTCAAGGGTGGGTCTATCCGGAGGACACTCGACAGAGGATGCAGACTTTTGGTTCTGGGCCATGTATTTGATCCTTTCCTTCCCCCCAGATTTACCTAGGGAGAAGATTTCCCACAGCAGTACTCCATAAGACCACACGTCACTCTTGGTGCTGTAGATTTTGTCGAAGATAGATTCGGGAGCCATCCACTTCAGAGGAAGTCGAGTCTAGAAAAGGGCAGGGGGTCCTTGAGCAGAAGGACTGGAAAACAAAGCATGTTCCACCCAAGGCCCATGGGCTCCCCTCCCAGATAACACTTGGCCCACAAATCATTTCCTAGAGCAGCTATGGTTTCCTAAAATGGAGGAAACCCTTATAACAGTGTCACACTAAAAGAGAGGGCAGTCACTGTCTGGTGAGCCCCTCCCACGTATCCTGCATGTCCTCCCTCCAGAACTCTGGAAGAAGCCCTTCTCCCCCAAAAGGCGTGAGCTCTACAAGGTCCTGGAAAAGGATGATCTGAATTAGGACACATCCTGAAAAATCGATGATTTTCAGGGTTTTGGTTTTTGGTGTGGAAGGAGGAGGATTTTGAAAGGCCTTGCTACGTAAAAAAGACAGAATTTTAAAAGTCACTGGATCAGGGGAGCAGGCAAAGGCACTGGAAGGAAGGAAGGTGATAGATAGCATTTAGGAGACCATTTGGCTGGTTTTCCAGTGTGCAGAGAAATCTTCCTTCTCTTCAGACAGCAGGAGTCCCAGTGGGTTAGGCCTTGCCCTGCAGATGGGTGGGATTTGACAGGAAGTATGGGATCACGGATTGAGAGAGAGAGAGACAGAAGTAGGAGAGGCCAGAAGAGACAGAGATGACAGAAAATAGGGACAGACTTCGCAAATCCGTGCTCCCGAGGAAGGTTTGTTGTTCTCCTTTTATAAAAAGAGACTGTGGGGCAGTGGTTCCCAAAGTCTAGTCCTGGGAGCAGCTGTATCTGCAGCACCTAGAAACTCGTTAGAAAGGCAGATTCTCAGGCCCCCGCCCCCAGACTCCCTGCATCAGAATCTCGGGGGGGGGGGTGGAGCTCAGTAAATTAGAGTTTAACAAGCCCTCCAGGTGATGTGTGTGCTTGCTCAAATGTGAGAACTGCTCCCAGAGTAATCGTCAGAACCCAGACCCAGCTTCAGCCCTCCGGCTGGAGAAGAGAGGACACAGGAGGTCACCCACAAAGGTGCAAAATAACACTGTTCAAAAACAAGCAGGGAAGAGAAGCCAGTGGGAGCCAGCAGGGAGATGCTAGGCGGGAAGGCAGGCATGGGAGGTAAGCCATTTCCTGGTCAGCGAGATAAGGTTGATCCCCTCCCCCTGCTTTCCTGAGATATCCACACCTGCTGAATCAATCACCAGGGTTTACTTGAGGGAAAGAGTCCAGGCTGTTCTTTCCAGCGGTACAGGGAACTCCCGCAGGAGTCAAAGGGAGGCGATGATACGGTCTTCCCAGGCCCCCGCGGAACATTTCTCAGGTCAGCAGGCTCTAGCAGTGCTGCCCAAAAGGACAGGTACCAAGCCAGCCATGGGGGAAAGAACAGAACAGGAGATGGGGGTCTTTCTGAGCCCCACACAAGGGCTCTCTGGTATACAGCTCATCCGGGCTGCTCGTCTTCACAGAAAGCACATGATGGTTTTCGGGGAGTGTGTGAATATTTACCAAGGGCTTTGGTCTACGGTTTAAAGAGGACAGGGTATAAATGAGTCAAAGAAACATAGCACTGACTTACATCTCCTTTTCTTACATAATCGGGGTTCTTATAAATATCCCGGGCAAGGCCAAAATCACAAATCTTCACCACATTGTTCTCAGATAAAAGAATATTTCTTGCTGCCAGGTCCCGATGAATGCACTAGAATGAAACATTTGCATCATCAGTGCATTTCCTTAATTCAACCCACCATTTCCCTGTGCCTTTTCAGTGTCCTTATTCCTCTCAATTGGAGGATCCATTTCACATGCTTCCTTTACATGAAGGAAGCGACTTCCAAAGCCCATGGGGTGACCATAAACACGAAGGCATTTCTTTACAAATATAGGCCCCCCGAGGCCCAAAAGCCAAGAAATGCCCCAAGTCCGCTTTGCCACCTTTGGGCAGGACAGCAACCTGGTAAACCAAGTTGGCACTGATGTCTCCCGTGAGCAACACCCCACTCCCCCCACCTCCGGCCTTTAATCCTGAGCTGCCAAGGTCAGATCATGATCTGGTTTCGTGGAGCACTCCACATGGATGAATTAACAGAAGCTCTCTGGAGAAGTTGTGTATTCTGAGATTCTGGCCAGTTTTGAAAATATGCCAGAGGGCAATGTGGAGAATGGTCACCAGGTTTGTCTAGTTTGAAATCTGGTGCGGTTTTCCCCTAGAATCCAGTTCTACTCATTGGTATCCGATGCTCCTCCATCCTATCGGGACAAATTAAGGCATTTGGTGTGATGTTTACTCTATGTAAGTATAAGCAAAGACTAGGAAGGGTGGATTTAGAGCAAAGGTGAGCCCATATAACACCCACGTGTCCAGGCTTGGCAAAGAAGGAAAGCAGTAAAAGACAAGGCTGACCTTTCTGGAAGACAAAAACTCCATGCCTCTGGCCACTTGGAAACTGTAAGAAATCAGATCTTCCATAGTGATGGGCTGCTTGTAGAAATCATCAGAGTCTGGAAAGCATTAAAACCATAACTGTTTGTAATGACTCTTATTATTCCACCAAATCCCAGTTTATTGGAACAATGTTAGCAAAACATAAAACCAACAAGTAGATCAGAGTTCATTTTCGAGAGCATTGGAGTTTCCAAATGAACATCAGAGATTTTTCCAGGCCTCCAGCCCATTCTACCCGGGCATGGGGGTGGGGGGTGATCCATTTGGACAAAAAGCCCTGAGGGGAGACAATTGCACAGTTCCCTGTCAAAATTAGTAACTCTGTAAATAATCTTAATTCAAATCTTATCTCCTCAGGACATTACCCTTCAAGTCTCCCACGGATGTTTATTAGGGTGATAAATAAGAAAAAAATGTCAGAGATGCACAGTATGTTGTAAAAATATCTCAGACTGCGAGGACAGGAAGGAATTAATACCTACCCTCCTCTTCCTCAACATCGCTCAGACTTTTATCTTCCTGAAACCCGGAGCTCGCAAAGCTCTCGCTGCTGGTGACACTATCTAGTCTTGGTTTCTTGTCTTGCTCCAGGTCGGGCTCCATTTTTTCTTTCTTAGGCTCCACGTGTAATGCCGCATCCTTTGAACCGACCGAGAAGGACACAGAGGAAAGAGAGTTTCAGAACAGCGATGAGGGAAACTAATCCCTCATGCGGGCAGGCGCCTGAGTTGGGAGAATGTCATTGCACAAAACGGGTCATTGCACAAAATTGGTGGCAAGAGCCCCATGGTGCTCGGGTGCCTGGCTCTTCATGGGGTTCTGGAGTCTGTTCGGCTTTCGGGTGGGTTTCGAGATAGCATGTTAGGTAGGATAAAGAAATGTTAACAGTCGCTGGTATTCACTGAGCGCTTGCTTGGTGTGAGCCAGTGTATTAAGACTCTTAGGTACATTTTCTCATTTAGTCTTTGTAACAATTTTATGAAGTAGTTCTTGCTGATACATGAAGAAATAGGTCCGGCGGAGGCGAGTAATAAAAGTCACAGGCAAGTAGCAAATGGCAACGCTTGAACCCAGGTTTGGCCAGCTCCAGTCCATGCCTTTTACCATTTTTTTCCATACCACACACCATCTTGTGAAAGATGATCTGAATAAGAGAGACAAATCCCTAGTGGACTTGGGGCTTCACTTGGCATAATCCCTGTGAGTAAGGAGAGAAGGCCATACTTATTGATTTCTCTGGTTTCTTTGAGGAAGGAGGGAACACGAACATTTCTTTGTCTCCCCGCCATTCAAAACAAAGATCCAGTTTAATCCTAATAAGGGCAGAAAAGGCCTTTCATCCTGGGCTGGGCATCCAAGCCCTGGTGTGTAATCTGGCTCTTTCATTAACTATGTGATATTGGGCAAATTACCTCCTTTTTTGGGTTTCATTCTCCTCACGGGGAAAGCTCCATCTTATTATGTTTGGCCTCCCAGGAAAGGAGGTGTTGGTTCTGGGTGTTCGTGTGGAACCGGAAAAGATTTTTATCATCTTTGGTAATTCACCTAATCACTGTGTCACTACAAATTTGGTGCGCCCAGTGGCTTCGTGACTCCGTGCTGGTGGAGCATGGACCTGGGCTCAGTCATGCTAGCTGGCAGTACTGAGGAAGGGGCTGACAGGGACTGGGGCTCAGTGGTATCCCCTGATGCACCTGCACGGCGCGAGGCAGTGCGGGACTAACCAGGCTCCACGTCCTTGCTTGGCTTTTCCTAGACGTGTCACAAATCAGGAGAGATCCTTCCACTAGAGGGCGCAGTGGGAGTAAGCAGAGGACAGCGGAGGGAGCCACGGCAGGGACAGCGGGACAGACTCAGGCTGGGGGGTACCAGCCTCCTGCCTGCTGACAAGAGCCCCGCAGGAGCCCTGCAGTGGGGCAGGCAGACCCCCACTGGCACCCCAGGTGACCTACCTGAGAAGAGGTAAACTATAATGCTTTGTTACTGTGTCTCCCAGAGGCAGTTAGAGTTGGTTCTGCTCAGTTGGGGCCTGGAATTGGATTTTCCACAAGGCCCCTGCTCAGGCCACAAGGCAGCAGGGAAAAAGCACTGGCAAGGGTGTGGGGAGGAAAGTGCTCGACAGGTCTGCTCACGGCTCAGCCCATGACAATCCATGCTCTCTGCTCCCCGGGCCACCTTCTTCCTCATCCTCCCAGTGGTCACAGCCCCAGACACATCTGCAGGGGCCATAACTCAAGCTCCCTCATTCTTTCCTTGACTCTCAAGTAATGCTCTGTTCAGCTTTGCTTATTGGTAACCACCACTGTTAAATAAAGGTGGATGTATGGAACTTTCGGGACTCTGGCAGAAGGCCGTGCATTTATTACAAATAGTATTGAGAGATCTTGCTGCACTTATTTGGAAAATGAAATATCCCATTTCTATTTAGCCTTTCGGTTTTTCCTTCACTTTCTCTTTATATTCCTTTAGGTTCCAAATATGAAATACAGCCATGTGTTTTCCATGAAAACACTGAGCTCCACCAACAGGGAGGCGAATCATTAAATATAGCCAGAGAAGGAAGCAGAGCTTTCTAAACAAAGGACGCACGAACCCAAACGTTCCATCCTGCCCAGGTCCCTGGGCTCTGCTGCCGCCTTAGTTCTTCTTGAAGCAAGTCCAGGATTTCAGGACTGAAGGGACTTTGCACTGCTCCCAACCCGGGCCACCACTTTCCCCTTTTTCTTAGGGTTTCTCCCCCCTCCCGACCCCACCCTGCTTTCCTTATCCAGCATAATGCACAGAAGGGTTTGCAAGGGTTGTCAAGAGAGCGGGGCTCTTTTCTTCCAGACTTCACCTCTGAGTTAAGGGAGTGTCCTTAAGCCAATCACTTACTTGACTTTTCTGGGCACATCTATAACGTGAGAGAGTGAACTAGCTGAACACAAGGTCCTTTCCAGATTCAAGATTCTTTTTTTTAAAGATTTATTTATTTATTTATTTATTTGAC